GAAAAAAAATAAATAAAGCCAGACATGGTGGTGCATGCCTTTAATCCCAGTACTTGGAAGGCAGAGGCAGGCAGGTCTCGTGAGATCAAGGCCAGCCTGGTCTATATAGCAAATTCCAGGCCAGCTGTGGCTACAGGGAGACCTGTCTCAGAAACAAAAAAAAAAAAAAACCCCAAAAAACTCCACTAAAACTAAAAGCTTATAAATAAATAAGTAAATAAGTAGAGAGCAATGGAGGAGGGCACCCTGTCAGCTTCAGGCCTTCACATGCACATGTGCACGCATACACCCCCACACATGGGAGCCTTGTGGACCCTCAGCCACCTGGACTTTGCCCTTTCCCCACCTTCCCACTCTCTTTCCTCAAGTTCCCTCACTAAAGTCACCAGCACCACTGCTCTGCCCTGAAGCCTCCTGGGTGTCTGGCGCTGTGCCCTGACTCTTCCCAGACTGGGAAAACAGCAGAAGGGATTAATAAAATTTAGGATTGGGCATGATAGTGCACACCTATAATCTCAGCACTTGGTGAGCAGAGGGAAACGGATCTCTGTGAGATTGAGGCCAACCTGATCTACATAATGAGTTCCAGGCCAGCTGGGGCTACAGGGAGACCCTGTCTCAAAAACACCAAACAAAACAAACAAAAAACACAAAAACAACAACAACAAACCCCTAGGATGAAGAAGTCTCATTGGCATTAGCTATATATGAGACTCATGGACTGGAGGAGAGAAGGGCTTCAATTATTCTATGATGAATAATCATGTTTGTTATATGATAATTTCCATATGCTTTGTGTTATTGTCACTGTTAGGAATAGGACCTTTAATAGCCATATTTTAGGCTGGGAATACAGCCCAGTGAGAAGATGTTTGCCTAGCATACACCAGGTCCTAGGTTCAACCCCCAGTGCTGTAAAACAGACAAACAAAACCCCCATATTTTATTGCTGGCACATGGGATTTTTATTGCATTTGCATATTTATTCTGAAACCATCTGCAAATGCTTGATGACCTGAGAGAGGCCAGCCTCTTTGGAGACGAGACAACAGTCGCTGAGTGAGATGGGATGGTGCTGTCACAGTCAGTGACGGCTCTGAGGGCTCAGGAGACAAAAGGCGATTGCTAGTGATATGAATGCTCCAGAAAGACTTCAGAAGAGGTGTGGACGCAGCCAGCCTTGAAACACGTAAAGGATTTGAGCCAAGTGAAGAGGGGAGGGCAGAGGAGGCAGCAGGGGGAGAAACAATACTCTAACATGCTAGCTGTTGTCCACCAGGCCCTGGGAAGTCAGGATTTTATCCAGTTAATCTTCCTGAGCACTTGCACACAGATACTATTGCTGTCATTTGATAAAACAGATGAGAAAACCGAGGCTCAGGGAACTGAAGTGATTTGGGAGAACTAGATAGCCTAATAACATAGCCTATGGCCTTTGGGTGTTTCTGTATGTACATGAGCGCGTGCGCACACACACTGACGTAGGTCAGCTTTACCAACATTGAATTCACATGTCATACAATTCATTCATGTAAAGTGTAACACCCAAGACTGGAGATGTAGCTCAGTTAATAGAGTACTTGCCCTGCATATATGAAGCCCTGGGTTTGATTCCCAGCACTGCATAAAACTGAGTGTGATGGTACATACTATAATCCCAGCACTAAAGAGGCAGGAAGATCAGAAGTTCAAAGTCATCCTTGGCTACATAGTGAGTTTGAAGTCAGCTGGGCTACAATGAGACGTAGAAGGGAGGGAAGGAGGGAGGGAGGGAGGGAGGGAGGGAGGAAGGGAGGGAAAAAATGGGAAGGAAGGAGGAAGCAATTCAGTGGTTTTGATAGTATTGAGCGAGCTATAAAATTATTACCATAACCCAGTCTGAGAACATTTCATAAAGAAACCCCCCTACCCATTAGTCACCACCCCTAAACCCGTCTCTTCAGCCCTGTGCCATTATGAATCCACGTTCTGCCTGTGGGGATTTACCTCTTCTGGATATTTTATGTACATGGAACTATACTGATATGTGGTATTTGTAAATGACTTCTTTGGCTCAGCACCATAGTTTCATGGCTCATCTATATTATAGCCTCTCTCTCTCTCTCTCTCTCTCTCTCTCTCTGTATGTGTGGTATATCGGTATGTTCATATTTTTTTTAGACAATGTCCTTCTCTGGCCTAGAACTCATCAGTTAGGCTAGGCTGGCTGACCAGGGATTCACCTGTCTTTGCCTCCCCAGCACTGGGATTATAAGCACATGGCCATCATGCCTGGCTTTTTTTTTTTTTTTTGGCATGGATTCTGGGGATCCAACTCAGAGCCTCCTGCTAACAAGGTAAGCACTTTACCAACTGAGTTATCTCCCTAGTTCCTCTAGCATTTCTTAATTGCTGCATAATAGTCCTGTTTGGGCATATTGCTTCTGGCTGGTCCATTTCTCAGTCCCTGGCCAGTTGGGTTGTTCTGCTTTCAAGCCTTGTGAACAAAGCTGCCATGGACACCTGCATGTTTTGTGTTTTTTGTATGGACACATGTCTTCATGTCTCCTGAATGAATTAGGATATGGTGACTCTGTGGTTAGTCCTTGGGGAAGTGCTGTCCTGTTCTGCTCAGTGGCTTCCCAGCTGTTGCTGGGGCATCACGTGCTTTTGAAACAAGTGATCACGAAGTACTCTTGAGATGGCTGAGTCACCCTCAGGTCTTTGATTTCAAAGGAATTTGGTTCCAATTCACATGGCTCTGGGGCAGGCTCTTGGGCAACCAAGACTGATGCCTCTGTGTTTGTTGTTTTGCTGCAGACCTGGCCGAGTGCAAGCTGGTTTCCTTCCCCATTGGCATCTACAAGATCCTGAGAAACGTCTCTGACCAGATCCACCTCATCACACTGGCTAACAATGAGCTCAAGTCCCTCACCAGCAAGTTCATGACTACCTTCAGTCAGTTGCGAGGTAGGCCCTGGGCAGCTCAGGGAGAGTGTGACCAGCCTCTGTCCCCCAGGCTCTGACCTTGTCTGAGGGATGCCTCAAGAGCCTGCCCCTGGTCAACCAGATCCATGAAGTCATTCCCAATAGTAGGCCTGGAAGAGGGACTTGTGTCCCCCTGCAGCCTGGAAATCTCTGGCTCAACTTCTGCCTCCAGTTGGCTGGGACTAAGCAAGGATGAGGGGTTGTGTCTTGGATTGATTCCTTTGTTCTAAGCAGACCAGCAGGCCCAGGCCCAGGCCCAGTAAATTCTAGGGAGACTTGAACGATTCCCTTCTCATCTCCAATCTAGCTTTCTCTCAGGCAGCTGTGACAGATGCTAGCAATGGTCGGTTATCTCTCTGGCACATACCTGATGAGTCCCTGGAGGGTGCTGGGCAGGAGGCCAATAGGTAGGCATTGTGGATCTTTTACAATGGCTCTTCTGGATGACTGAGCAGGGTGTGCTGAAACTCTGGTACTCTCCCTTCTCTAGAGATCTGCTTCTCTATCCTTCTGTCCCCATGGCACACAACTGTAACCTGGGCCCTTTTGCGATAGCACAGTTAGAGTGGCAGAAGGCATGAGAAGTCTGAGTGAGGTGGTTCCTGCCTTCTGGAGTTCTCTGTCTGCCAGGGGTATGAAAAGGGTCCATGATTCTGTTTACAGAATGCTGGTCACACATGAGTGATAAGCAAGCATATCTCAGACTATTTTACACTTGGGCAGACTTCCACAAGGAGGTGCCAATGTTGGGAGCCCAGAATGGGCAGACCTCCGTTCAGTGATGAGAAGGGGCCATGTGGTGGCTTAGGGAGCCAGGCAAGACCTTGCAAAGCCAGCTACACAGATGTGCACAAAGACAGAATTAGTATGGATGGTTGCTTTGGTCACAAAGCTTAAGTGCCTCATGGGGCTGGAGAGATAGCTCAGCAGTTAAGAGCACTGACTGCTCTTGCAGAGGACCCAAGGTTTGATTCCCAGCACCCACAATGTGACTGATAACTGTCCATAACTCCAGTTCCAGGGGATCCAACACTCTCCAGATCTCCGCAGGCATTGCAAGAAACAAATGCACTTCCATATATGCAGGCAATATACTCATACACATAAAAATAAAAATAATAAATAAAATATTAAAAGAAAAACGGGCTAGAGAGATGCCTCAAGGGTTAAGAGCACTGGCAGTTCTTGCAGAAGACTTGGGTTCGAATCCCAGCACCCACATGGCAGCTAACAACCATAATTCCAGTTCTAGATTCAATGCTTTCTTTGGTCCTGTTCTTCTATTAAATATTCTGTCCAGGTGTCTTCCTAAAGGAACCCTGGGTTTCAGTACAGACTCCTATTCACCCTGAAGTCTGGGACACTGACTGGCATGGATGAAGTGTGTGGGAAGGCCTGGTGCATGTCCTGAGCATGGGCTGGAGGCTGGAAGAACTTTCAGAGAATATCACAATGGCAGGAGAGCTTATGAGTTCAGGCCAACAGCTCCAAGGGAAAGCGCTAGAGAAAAGGCTCTGCTACAAGACTATAGTCAAACCTGTTAAAGGATGCTGTTTGAACTCCTTCTTTGCCCCCGCAATCCAAAACCCAGGATTTCAAAGGAAAGACTAGCTCCAATACTAATTGGATTTCACACAGTGGATTGTAGGCTGTAGTGGCTCAAGGGGGCTGGATCTGAGGCCCCATTTAGCTCTCAGAGATGCTTTGGGCCCACATCTTTGTTGTGGTTTCTTTTTCAACAGAAAACCCCTGTTCTTTTATGTGTGCAGAGGAGGAGGAAGAGGCACTTGGAAGCCTTTGTCCTCTTCTACACTCCTGAAGTGCAGCTGCTGCTGTATAGTACCTATTCTCCAGAGAATAATTTGCTTGTCCCCATGGTGGTTTCCAGGGTTGGGCCATTTTTAATTCTACCCTTTCTGTGTCCTTCATGCATTAAATTTTTTTATTTCTTTATTTTTATTTTATATGAATATGAGTGTTTTGCCTGCATGTAAATGCACAATTTCTGTGGAGGCCAGAAGAGGGCTTTGGATCCCCTGGAACTGGAGTTGTTAGCTGTTATGTGGGTGCTGGGAACCAAACCTGGGTCCTCTACAAGGTCAGGCAGTGCTCTTAACTGCTGAGCCATCTCTCCAGTCCCCTTCATGGATTTTTATAAAATGAAAAGGAAGACCTGGGCTGGGGATCTAGTTCAGCTAATAGAGTCCTTGCCTAGCTTGATTGGGACCCTGGATTTGATTCCCAGCACTCCAAGGGTAGAAGCAGGAGGGTCAAAGATTTAAGGTCATCCTCTGCTACCTAGCCAGCTGGAAGCCAGCCGGAGAAACAAGAGACCCTGTCTTAAAACAAAGCAGTAAGACCTGAGCAAGCTGGGGGTGGGGGGCAGATAGAATCAGTTTGAATACAAGTGGGGCCTGTAGAAAGGGGTTCCAATATCCAGCTATGACTCTTCTGTTATCTCTTCTCCTGTATCCCTATCTTTCTCCTTTCTTTTTCCTTGGTCACTTGGCTCTTTTGATTGTATCCTGGGCCTGCCAGGCCAGAGATACACCTAAGAGATATGTAAACACCTCCTAGGTCAGACCAGCAGAGAACCTTGCCTTGGAACCTGCTGTTGAGTAAGGAGCCAGCCCGGTTATTTGTACTTGGCAAAATTTCCAGGGAACAGAGCACTGGGAAGACTTGGCCGTGGAACAAAGCCAAGGCTTCCAGTCTGAGCAACAGTGAGGGCAGCTGCTGGTGTTTCGCTAGAAGCAGGTATCCTCAGTGATTGGCTAGCATTTGCTACAGGTAGCTTTAGCTTTCTCTGCACTGTCCTTAGTTTCCAATGGGGACAAAAATCAGGGAAACTTAGCCAGGTGTAGTGGCACATGCCTGTAATCCCAGCACGTGGGAGGTGGAAGTAGGAGATCAGGAGTTCAAGGTCAGCCTTGGCTACATAGTAAGTCTGACACCAGCTTAGGCTATATAAGATCCCCTCCCCCACCAAAGAAAAAAAAAATCAGAGAAGCTGGGGTTATTGAGTCCTAGCCAGTTATTGTAGGGATTAGGGTATGACTTAGTGAATTGTTGCTACAGGTAACAGTTCTAACAGTGTCCGACTTAGGTGGGCTAGTAGCTGGAGGTGATATGTTGGCTTCCTGGGTAGGTAGCTACCGGTTGTGGATCAGTGCTCTATTTTGACACTAGGTTGTACTGTTGTTAGTAAATTCAGTTTCTCATGAGCCAGGAATCATGATGCATACCTTTAATCCCAGCATTTGGAAGGTGGAGGCAGGAGGAACAGGAGTTCAAGATCATCCTCAACTACACAGAGAGCTTGAAACCAACCTGGGCTACATGACACCCTGTCTTGTTTTTTTAACATACTTCTCATATTAGTTTCTCATACTTCTGCTTTTTACCCAATCCAGCAGATGCTCACAAGTCTCCTACTGAGTTAGCTGGGGGAATGCCTGGCTGAGTGACAGGTGGGGAGCCCAAATCACTGGGTACTCAGCTTTCCTGGCCCAGTGTCTATGTCTAGTCATCTTAACCCTAGCATCACTTGAATGAGGAAAAAACTAGGAGCTAGATAGAGATGGTTTCTCAGGGTAGGAAGTTATGCTGCCTGTCTATACTGTAACATAAGGGGTTGCTCACTGAGGGGTAGCTCATGGCAGGCAGTGGCTCAAAGGCAGAAGTCAATTGTTTGCATGAATAGGAACTCAGGAAGCTCCTGAGAAAACAGCCTAAAGTGGGGATTGATAGATGAGGAAGTGTTTGCTAGATAAATAAGGGGGTTTCTGAAGCAGCCTTCAGAAGATGAAAGGTATGTTTGGAAAACAGCTGCAAAAATAGGTACAAGACAAAAGGACAAAGCAGAAGGAAGTATATCGTCAGGGACCAGCCCAAGCCAGCTGTCTGCTCAAGCAGGAACATTCGAGAAGGGCCCTGGCAGGATGGGTTGGGATGGGAAAAGGTAGTGAGAGGCATCTGGGACAGGAGGAGCATCAGGTGAGTCAAAATTGTAAAACCAGCAAGGTGTGGGAGGGAGACCGGGCTCACCATGGAGGCCCAGCCACAAGCTTATCTTCAGCCAGGTCCTGAGGGGGCTCCTGAGATGACAGTTTCATCTGCCCAGGCAGGGGCAGCAGGGCTCGAGTTGACTGAATGTTGTTATAGATGGATGAGAGTGGGCAGGAAGGCCTGGGCTGTCTGCTTAGCCAGGCTAGGTTCCTCTGTGGAGACCAAGCTGACCAAAAGACACTGCTGCAGGAGAAAAGAGGTCCGACAGCCTGGCAGAGCAGGGGCCAGAGAGAAGCTCTTTTACTCACTATAGTAGACCAGGCTGACCTCAATCTCACAGAGGTCTGCCTGCCTCTGCCTCTGGAGTGCTGGGACTAAAGGCATTCACCATCACTCTGTGCCAGAGAGAAGGCTTTTGATTAGACATTAGGGGTGTGTGAATGTCAGGGTGTGGGGGGTAAGGATGAAGGGGTGACGCCCAATCCTTGTAGTTGAGTTGAGATGCTTTTCTGTTCTGATTTTCTACCGTGATAGGCTTGCTTGAGATAGGATTTCGTGTAGCCCAGGCTGACCTTAAGCTCCATCTCTAACCCAGGATAACTTTGAACTCTTGATCCTCCTGCCTCTACTTACATATTACTAAGATGACAGGCATGTGCCATTGCACCCTGCTGCGGTGACATTGTTCTTTGCCTCTTCCTGATGTTTCCCCAAGTGTATGCTCTCAGGGCCATCACTAACAGGAAGATGCCAGCCACCCGGCAACCCAGGGAAGCAGTGTGGGCACCTGCTCAGGCCCCCCACCCCCTGCAGGGTCTATCTACTAAAGGTTCCTCCATGCATTGTTCTCACCAGCAGCTCTTTTGACTATTGCTAGAGAAAATGGGCAATTTTTCTTGATACTGCGGATAACAGTACAGGTGCATGGAGAGTTTCGTGTTTCCCTCTGGCAAGCCACCAGTGACTGGTGTAGC